ATTTGAGCTTAAAGAGGCAAAGTTGTAGAGAATTGAATTTCCTTCAAAGTGAGCTTTGGTTGAGAAAAATCTGATGAAGCATGTGAAAGTTATGCTTGGTCAAAATTCAGTTGACTTCTCTTTAAGAAAATTCTAATTTGGCAACTTTGACTTTTGATGAATTGAGAGTTTTCTTAATGAATCATGATCAAACCTTGATCAAATGATGAATATGACTTTAAAATCTTGATGGTGACAAAAAATATTGCAGTTTGACTGTATGCTGACCATAATTGACTTTTTACCAAATACAATTGATTTTTGTTCATCTGAGCAATTGATTGAGAAAACTTGTGATGCAAGGCTTGAAATTTGGCATGAGCATTCTTTCATACATATGAGGAACCATGAAATCAACTTGAGGAATTATAAGCTCAAATTTCCTAGAGAAAAGTGAAACCCTAGTTGTAGGTCAAATTTTTAGAAGGAGAATTTGTCTGGTCAAACATTGAGTAGCCTTGAGCAATTGAAAACCCTAGAAGCATGAGGAGGTGTCTTGAAGAAAATGGGAGGGAAAATTTTAGGGTACAAAAAATCAGTGTCAAAGAAGCAATACGTTTTTTCTCAAAACTCATATTATCTACTCCTTAAGTTTTGGTAGGTATGCAAAAATCTGCGATGTAATTCATTGTGTTAGTCTTGAAGCGACAATAAATTATCAAGCTTGTGTTATTTACCCCCTAGGTTGTGGTATATATAAAATCTGCGGTATACCTTACAATGTTAGTCTCGAAGCTTTAGTTGGTTATTTTTTTAAAACTTGTGTTATCTACCTCCTGGGTTGTGGTAGATGTACAAAATATGCGATACAATTCATTGTGTTAGTCTCGAAGTGACAATGAGTTATTAAACTTCTGTTATTTACCTCATAGGTTGTGGTAAATATGCAATAAATGCGATATAACTGGTTGCATTAGTCTCGAAGGAGTAATAAGTTATTTATTTTCAAAACTCTGCATTATTTATCTCCTAGATTATGATAAATATGCAAAATCTGCGATACAACTTACTATGTTAGTCTCGAAGTGTTAGTAAGATATTTTCCAACTTGCGCTATTTACCCCCTATGTGGTGGTAAATATACGATAATTGTGATATAACTTGTTGCATTAGTCCCAAAGCAAATAAGTTATATGTTTTTAGGCTCGCGTTATTTACCTCCTAGGTTATGGTAAATATACGAAATATGTGATTACTTTTTCTAAGCATTGGTGAGTTAACTCTGTCATCCTTGCCTATTTACTTTTTGGTTTATCATATCGTTTATCTATTTCGAAGTCTTGGTCGAAATTGGGGTATTTCATTATTTAATAACCCTCCGATTCGAACGTGCGAAAACTTTGTATACTCGCACGCTTAAATCGAAGAGTAATTAAATAGGGACAGCTGTCATACTCCAAATTTGTCTGCCCTATTTCTACAGTCAAAATTATTTTCAAACTTGAATTTTATAAAAAAAATTGGTTCAATTTTATTAACATTTTAACAACAATTTCCTTTGTTTATTTAAATAACAAAATTGTCCATCCTTCATATGATTTCAAGTGTTGTTTTATTTCGAATAAATGAAATAGCATAATTGGTAAGGAGACAAAATTTGCAAGAGAGAGGTCTTGTGTTTAAATCTCATCTTCCACACTTTTTATATTTTTATCTATTTGCATTTTTCTTTCATTACTCCAAAAAAATCATTAAAAAATATATATTTTTAATTATTTATTGAGTAATTTCGTTTTTTATTTTATTAATATTTTAATATTAAATTTTTATTTTTAAATATTTGATTTTATGAAAAAAAGAAAGTCATAAATCCAAAAAATAAACAAAATCTTTTCATATTAAATATTTTTCAAATCAAATATTGCACAGAGTCACAATTGAGTTCAGATTCTTAATCTTGTTGACCAAGATACAATCAGGCATTAATTTAATTTTATTTTCTCTCTTTTATCCTTTAAACTAATTTTCCAACTCTATAAATAGGCCTCTTGTCTATCCTAATTTATCATCAACAATTATCAATAGTTCTCCATCTTTTCTTTCACAAATATTTTTTTCTAAGCAATTTCTTTTGTTGATTTATTTTATAGTTTTGTCTTAAACAGACACTTAACTTTGTATTTGTTTTGAACAGACAATTACACACAACTATTAACAATCTTTTCAATCTCTCACAATTCCACACAATTTCTTTTCAAAATTTCTTTTCAATACTATTGATATTTTTATTTTGACCAATGATTAAATTTGAGGTCATCCTTTTAGTTTCAATTTTTTTATTATAATTTATTTACAGTTCCAACCCGATGATAATAGTAACAATTCTTTTTTAAATCAATAATTCACTGACACTATTATTTGTATTCATTCTTACACAAAAAATACTTTTTCTAAACAAAACTTTTTTAATTTTTTTGTTGTTTTATTTACTACATGATGATTTTGTTCTGATGGCTTTATTTGAAAGAAATATATTTTGGTAAAAATTTCTACAAAAAATTTCTCACAAATTTCTTCACTTACATATTTTTTCACTAATATTTATAAGTAGCAGACACTAACAATTTCTCACTGTCAATTTGTACATACAAGTATAATTATCAATTTTGTTTTATTTGAGTTGCAGATAAATTAAGTCAAAAGAATGAGAACAATGGTTGTTTAACTTTTTCAATCTGAAACGCAAAAAAGGAGAAAGGATGGATAAGAAACGTTGTTATGATACTGATTGGTTATTTCTCTCTTGTAATAATATTGATCATTGCTTATTTATTTATTTATTTATTTATTTATTTATTTATTTATTTATTTATTTATTATTTATTATGTATTTATTTTAATGCCCGATATTAAATTTTATTCAAAGTTTGAAAAATTTATCTTAATTCATTTTTTGTGTGTGTTTATTTGTTAGTGTATTATAAAAAGAAAACACACGAAACTCTTAGCTTAGGGGCGGCACACCCACTGTCTCTACTAATTTTTTTTCCTCTTATTTTTATTTATGTTATTCAATTAAAATTAGAATTAAATTAGTGAAATGGGCCTTAAGTCCATGTTTAGCATATTTTCAACCCCTTTATTTATTTTATTTAATTTAGTTCTTAATTTATTTAAAATATATAATGATACAAAAAAATTGATCTCATGTTACTTAATTAGTTTAGTTCTTTTACTATGACATTTATGTTAAATATACAAAAAGATCAAAAATATACTTTTAGTTTTTTTTAGAATAATATAATTTTGTATATAAATTTAAACATTTTTTAATTAAATTAATTTAACATTTTTTTATAAATAATAGAATAATTGAATTTTACATCTATTATATTCTCAAATAATTGATTAATCGACTTAATATTTACTAATTAATTATCCAAATAAAAAATATTAAAATTCATCAACACATCAAATAATGGATTAAATATAAATATTTTCAAAATTAACTGCGAATTGCGTCTACGATCATTCTTTTCAAATCCAGACAAAAGATTCAAGGATAATTCAAAAACAATTATACGTAATTCTATAAAAAAAACAGCCAAACATACGAACTACGAAATTGAACTTTGATTTTTCACGAAGAGATACGTAGGCACGCGGTTAAAACTAAACTGAATCATAGATGAATGGTGTCTTACATTTTCTTTTCGTCTAACCAATTCACGAACTTAAAATCTTTAAATAATTAAAATTATCCATTATTTTTCTGTCATGATTCTTTTATATTTTTACCAGGTAGGACAGCGTAAATGCGTTTAAATTGAAGGTGGGGAATCATCGTCCTGATATTTGCTAGTTGATTTTATACATTAACCTTGAGATAATTTAACTATATGCGGCAAATATGTTTCTTCCAAGACCATAATTGTCTTAAGAAATTTTAAAAAAAAATAATAATAATTACGTGTGCAAAACGTCATTCAAAACAAAGACTATTTAAAGAAGTTCTTCAAAGATAAAACCATTTATGGGCTTTCTCTTCTTTTTACATGTGCTTCCAATAGAAGCTCTTCTATGTGACCATTCATTACAAAGCACAAAAGCATGTGTACAAGCATCTTCAATATACATATACACACACAAATATTATAATCATTAATTTTGTTGATGTGCATACGTTTTTTAAACTTTAAAACAAAAACTGAAGAAAAAAAAAACAGTGTGGGCCTCCCTCTGACTTCCACTCATATATTCCAAATAAATAAACAAATGAAAAGTGAGTTTTCCAATCAAATAATTCTAATTCTATATTTCAATGATTCCTTCAAATTAGATTTCTTTAACTTCAACTAAAGGTTCTTTCATTTTCACCTATATTCACAATGTATAAATAACAAGAATAAATTAGAGCAAAAGGTACTTTATCTTTTTTGTTAACAACAATTTTCAATCTAGTTTAGAATTAGAACCTCCCTATATTCACCAACTTTCTCATACTTATAATCCCACTTTTTGTAAGCATATAATCTTTCAATTATTAGAACAATTTAAATAATATCCTTTTAAAATGGTTCCTCAAAATTATCAATAGACTCTTCTATAATTTATCTTTATATCGAGAATCTTGATTCTTTATATGATTGAAAGTTTTTTCGAAAAATATTAAATCAAAATTAAATTACATATATTTTAAAATTAAGTGTTTTAATAAAAAATTCATACAATTGAATATACGTCACTTAACCCCGATCAAATAAATGCGGAAACCCTAGAGAATCTAAACTCCTTTCTTTGAAAGGGGTCATTTCTTCTTTCCTTTCTTTTTCTTTAAAGACATTTTCTAGTCTCTTTTTGCAGAGATAAGAAACTTTACATAAGTAAGTGGCCTTGTATGTTGTTTCTTTTCATTCATCATATCATTACCAACTTGACAATGTTTTGTGATAAGATTTGTCCTAGTAGCCAAGTATTGGTTCCGTGCCACTTTTTTTTCTTTCTTCAAAAACATTTATTAATTATCTGAAAGTTCCTCCAAATGTTGGTGTCCAATATTCAACTGTTGGTTCATGAGTCATTGGAAATGTACTAGAAACTGGTACTAAGCACAACCCTCTGCTCCTAAGATCCTGCTTTGGACCCTCTACTTCCTTAGATTTACCAGAACCCTGAAATAAAAAATATATCTATATAAATAAGAGAATAAAATATATAGATTGTGAATCAATCATAATCACATAAAGTGTTATATTATACAGTTATTTTTATTAAATTATATGATATAGTTAAATAATAATTTTTTTTAAATGATAATGTAAAATTATTTTACAGTTAGTTAGTGTACTTTTTAACTCAATATATAATGCAACTCTAAAATTTAAAATATGGATCATGTTTCCTTACTTTTAATATTCACGCATTCGACATAATCTTGATTGTTGGAACAAGATTAAAGGGTCAAAATTTAAGTTCAATATTTTTATTTTAAGACAAACTAAAATTTTATTTAGATTTATACGGTTTGATTTTGGCCTAACCATCAAGAATATGTTGAATTCGTGAATGCATCAAATATTTCAATAAAAAATATATCTATATAAATAATATCACTTTAAAATTTAAAAGTAAAGGATAAATAATAAAAGAATCAAAATTCATTGATATCAGGTATAAATTTAAAAGACTTCCATTAAATCTCAATCTTTAATAACAATAAATTAATTACTTATATAAATAGTCTATTTTTTAGAGAAAAAAAATAACTATATTTTTAATTTTTTAATTTTATTTAATATAGTTGTTTGATTTATTTTTATTAACGATTAAAATTTAGTGTAAGTCTTCTAAATTTATATCTAATGTCAATAATATATCCCTATTCATAACAAAAATATAATAAAAATATGTTTTTCTAAGGTCACATATTCTAGATCATTGTATCATGGTCGAATAATCAAAATTTAAGTTCAATATTTTTATTTTAAAATAGATTAAAAATATTTAAATTAAAATTGTTTTGTCTTAATTTAACAATACAAAATATGTCAGAATGCATAAATGCATGGAATATTTGACAAAAGTGAATCTGATTTTGTAAAATATATACTACCTGTTGATGTTGGATTGGAGCACCACTTTTCATATACGGTGTGCTTAAAATCTGTAAGAATAAGAGGAAATCAATATGATAATTATTTTTGATAATGTCTTAAAAAATTATAATAGAATAAAATAATGTGAAATGGAACTTACAGTCACTTGTTCATGGAGAAACTTGATATATTCAATTGCTTCAGAGAGCACTGAGGCTGTATCAGTCTGACTCAACATAGCAAAAAGAAATTTAAAATAAAATCAACAAACATCATTTAAATATATCATTCAATCCACAAAAAGAAAAACTATAAATCATAGTTCTAAATTGCTCTCCAAAGTTCATTGTCATTCTACATAATGATTTAGGAAATGCAATTTTAGTGACAATTTTAAAATTTTCAATATTATTCACAACTGCAATTTATTTTCATAGTATTAGTCATTGTTTTAAATTGTGATATGTAATTTCAGTTATGGTTATAATATTAGACTATATTTATAATGTGATTTAAAATTTTGCGTCAGTTTCATTAAGAACGCATGTCAGATTGTATATATAGTAATTTAAAATTTTGTGTCCGCCTCGTTAAAAATCATATTATATAATTTTGTCGGTGTTTCTTTAAATATTTTCATAAAAATCCAAAATTTCAGAATTCTAAAACAAAATCTACTTCAAATTTAACTAAAAATATTAAAATTAAGTGTTTATAAATAAACTATTTCAAATACTTCTCAATCATAATTTGCATTGCAACGATTGCAATGAACATCACAACAACTGCAATATCTGCAATCGTATATGCGACACAATAACAATTTAAAACCCTCGTATTAATTATAAATTCAAAGAGAGAAAAATGACGATTCTATTTTATTGTAATAGAATGAAGCTCACTTTTCCAAAAGGTGAAACCAATTGTTGAAGTGCAGTGATTCTGTCCCCCATTTTCTCTTTTCTTACCTAAGAACAAGAGACACAGTACATGTACATGTTCATATCTATATTAATTATGGACTCAAACAAAACAAAAATATTAAATAAAAGTACATAAAAAAAAGGTAAAGATATATAAGATTAAAGATATAAAGTTTAAAAGCTAGCTATTTTTCCCTTGTTGTTAAAAGGTTTGTTACATTTATTGTACCTTAAAAGCTGGCAAAGGTGATGGGGTTTCATTTCTGGACCTTTTTGGTGCAGGCTCACTCCCACTTTTCTTCACCGCACCACTTGGGTCCCTACCTTCAGATATATTCTGCCAAAACATAAGTACATACATCAAATTCAAATTTAACCCTTATATTATTTATGGACCTATTCATCGTGATTTTAAATTGTACGGTCTGTAATTGATAGAAGTCGTCATTATTATTAGGATTCGAATCCTATATCATTATTAAGACTTAAATTCTAATTTTCATTATTGTGTATACGAGTTTCTAGTGATTATTATCTGTTTGTCTGCAGACAAAAAAAAAAATTACGGTTGCAATTAGTTGCAGTTATATACTATGAAATTTGATATTAGGGCAAAATAGAGACAAATTTGACATTTCAACAATATTTATGCTAAAAAGTTGTTTGATTATCAATCTATGATACCTTTGTTTGAGCATCGAAATTTGGTGTGGTAAATGGAGGCAAGAAGCTAGATGAAGAATCCTTATTAATAGTAGACTCTGAAGCATTCCAGAAAGGAGCATTATTGGTGAAATGCAACTGGTTATTTGGTTGTTGTTGTTGTTGTTGTTTTTGTTGAGGTATTTTAGACCAAGAAGGAACTAAATCATTTGAACTCAAAGCATAGCTTGTTGATGAGTAAGGAAAATTCATGGAACCGTGTTGAGGTTGAATTTGATTGGTTTCAGTTCCTAAAAGTCCTTGTAACATTGAAGAGTTACCATATAAAGATGAAGAATCCATTTGGCTTATCATGTTACTATCTCCTGAACTATATTGAGGACTAAACTGTGTTTGATCCAAAGAGAAACCTCTATTCACTTGCTTGAATTCATTGTTATTAGAAGATTCTTGTCTCCAATTAACTTGATGATGACTCAATCCGGTTTCTTGATCGAAATTTGTGCTTGATGAGTTCAAATTCTCTTGTAGCATAGACCTGAAACTTCCTTCTGAAGCCTTGTCACTTCTTCTATATCATCAGCATCAAAATAACACAAAAAAATTGTTACTTTATACACTTTTTTTCACTCATAAAATTATTCTCTTTTGTAAAAATAGAATGAAGAAAAAGATAAAGAAAAAGAAAGATCCTACTTTATTAAAAAAAAATACTGTAACTTTCTGTGTCTGTCTGTGTATCATCATATATTCTCTGATTTATAATTAGTAATAAATCGAACCAACTCAGAAATAAAAAATTAGGTTTGATTTGAAAATTGACGCGTTAAATGTTAAATTCTATCCATGAAATAATGAGTTGAACTTCGGTTGAAAATTTATCTGATAAAATAAATTAATTGAACTTGAACTACAGACGTTCTCGATAAGAGACTTACAATAAAGATGTTTGATTCCAATCAATGGTTTGAGACGAAAGACCCAAATTCATCATATGCAAGGTATTGTTGTCATTATTTGAAGTAGAAGAATCAGAAGGATGAAGCTTTTGAGTAGTATCATGAAAAACAACCGAAGAACTACCGGAAGCAGACATAGTATCATGATGTTGTTGCTGCTGCTGCCAACCACCAAAGGAAGAAGATTGTTGTTGTTGTTGCTGTTGTTGTTGTTCAACACTTTCAAATCTCATGTTTCTAGCTGGTGTCTCCCACCAATTTCCACTAGCTTGAAACTGTTCTTCAGCCATACTTGATTATCGATTATTACTGAATTATATAGAAATAGCAGACAACCAGACAACAACGCACTCACTGCTAAATAATTTGTGTGTTGTGTGAAGAAGAGAAAGAGAGTGTATTAGAAGAAATGAATGAATGGAAAAAAGGTTCAAAATTTGTTGGTATTTATATAACGAGGGGAAGAGAAAAAATGATGATATAATGAAAGAAAATTGGAAAGAGCAACAAGACTAAGAAGAAAGAATATGGTTGACGCCTTTGACAATTCAGGACATGTATTGATTAGACAGTGGAATTATATGTCATTTTGAAATCGAATTTGGTTCATTCCTTAGCTTATTATATATATATATATATATATATATATATATATATATATATATATATATATATATATATATATATATATATATATATATATATATATATATATATATATATATATATATATATATATATATATATATATATATATATATATATATATATATAATTCAACTTGTTGTTTTCTTTTGTTTTTTTTCTCTCAAGAATTCTTACTTTTTCTTTATGTTTCATAAATTGTTGGAGGAAAAACATTTACTAGAATTAAGTAAAATAGTTTTTCCTCATGTTTCATAAATTGTTTAAGGAAATTCTTAATTTTTTTATAAGTTAGATTTATGTGTCTATTTTTTTAGGGTTAAATATACAAGACTCTCAGTAATATAGGCGAAGATCGGTTTATCTTTTGTAAAAAAAATAGATTTTTTAAAATATTAAAAATTCTATGTCTTTTATCTCCTAAGTGTACAAATTACTCCTGTAATATTTTTTTTATTTACGCTCTCAAATTCAATATTAAAATTGAGCATTTAGGGAAAATAAGAAGAAAAAAATATTACAGGAGAATTAAAAGAATTTTACATGAAATAAATCTAAATTCACTTACATTGTAGAGATATCATATATTTAATTATTTTTTATTCAATAAATTGTTTTATTAAAAAATAATAAATTATTTTATATTAATTTAATATATTAAATTTTTTATATTCATTGAATTCTGTCTCTTTAAACTCTCCGCTATATTTTTAAACCCTCCCCTATATTTTTAAACTCTCAAAAGTGTTAAATGAAAAATAACATTTTCACTTAAAATTATATTAAACTTTTTTGATGAAGTGAGTGCAAAAATATTTCTCATGCTTGCCTTGCACCTGATTTGTTCCTGATTGCTGAAGCCTCCATCTCTAAAGTTCAATATTTGTGAAGCCATATGCTAGAAACTCAATTTAAATAAGTTTTATTCTTTCAATAATATCGTTGAAGATCAAACACTACTAGGGAAAAAAGATTTTTACTTCGGTTGAAAAAAGAGCATTTCAGTTGGAAATGTAATGTACTACTTTTTCTCTTGCTTGCAATGAAAACCGAAGTAAATCTTGTTTTTTTATTTGTGAAATAAAATTATACATTTTTAAAATGGCATATATTTTTACCAAAAGTATATATTATTTACATCAAAACTGAAATGCTACATATTTATATCAAGTAATTAACAAATAAGAAAACAAGCAATATACGCATCAGCATGCATGTGACTCATAAAACTCAAGAATGCAAGTTGATCAACGTAATTAGATGTCATATATGTTTTCTTCTCTGAATGGTGTTAGTTTGTTAATCACTTATAGGTTGAATAAAATGTAAAAACACTTAAAAATAATAACAAATTGTTATGTGGTAAAAATCAATAATATTTAACTATAAATATATATTATTTTATTCCATGAGTCAACATTAGTGACAAATAATATTCAACATGTGTTTCATCATATAATACTCACACTCATACGCAGCTGATTATATCCTCGTCAACAAAAAAAAATATAATGAGTAATAATACACACAACTTAACACATGTTGAAACAATTGGCTGAACAAATCATCGAGATGAAATCAACGAAGTCGTCATCGAACGTTTTTTATCTCATAGGAAGGGAAATGTAAACATCGAGTAAACTTGAGAAGGGTGAAGTCAAGGTCGAACGACCAAGAGATTCGGGTAAGGGAGTCTGTTACGTGAGGGGAAGGTATTAACACCCCACACACCCGTAGAGACTTACCAGAAATTGGAAGCTGCAGGTGAGAATTGTTGGTGCAAGGTAATGAAAAAAGGAGAGATAAATAATGAACAATGAATGATAACAAAGATGACTACTTTCTTGTATTCAAAAGAGGGATGAATAATGGATACAATATTGATAACTTAGGTAGCATATTTATACTAGAATTAGAAAATGCCAAAAGGCTCTAGTCAAAGAGAAAGCATTGGGAATTGTGTACATTAAATAAATTACATTTCCAATAACATTGACTAAATTATATTTCCAATACCATCCCTTAATTTAGATAATCTATCAGAAGCTGACAACACCAATTTCAACTCTTAAGTAAAGAAATTGATCTGTTTTAACTGCCTTCGTCAGAAGATCTGCAAGTTGTTTCTGAGTGCTACAATGCAGAACTTCTAACACTCCTTTCTGAACTTGATTTCTGAGAAAGTGAAACTTCGTCTCAATGTGCTTGCTTCTTCCATGTAGCACTGGATTCTTGGCAAGGTCAATTGCAGATTTATTGTCAATCATCAGCTTCAGAGGTTCCTCAATCTCAACCTTTAAATCATGCAGGAGATTCAGAAGCCAAACTGCTTGACAAGCAGCTACAGCACCTGCGATATACTCAGCTTCACATATTGACAGAGCTACAACAGGCTGTTTCTTGGAACTCCAGGAAATGGGACCTCCCAGAAATTTAAACAAGTATCCAGAGGTACTTCTCCTGTCCACTCTGTCTCCGCACCAGTCAGAATCAGAGTAACTTACTAATTCTGATTTTGTCTTTCTTTCAGAAGGAAACATCACTCCATATCTCAGAGTTCCCTTAATATATCTCAGAATTCTGACAGCAGCTTGAAAATGAGACCACTTGGGATTACTCATGAATCTGCTGACCAATCCAACTGCATAATAAATGTCAGGTCTAGTATTACATAAATACCTTAGAGAGCCAACCAGCTGTTTGAAGGTTGTAGAATCAACAGAATCACCATCAGAGTCAGAATCCAGTTTTTGATTGGTTTCTGATGGTGTCACAGCAACTTTGCAGTTCTGCAGCTTAAATCTCTTCAGAAGTTCTTGTTCATATTTTAGCTGGTGCAGAATGATACCCTTCTTCGAGTACATAATCTCCATTCCTAGGAAATATGTCATTTTTCCTAGATCTGTCATTTCGAATTCATTCATCAGAACTTCCTTGAACTTCTTTATATCTTCTGGGCAGCTACCTGTTAGCAAGATGTCATCAACATAGAGACACACCAGAATCATATTGCTATCAGAGTGTTGTACATAAACTCCATATTCCATCTCACACTTCTGAAAACTCAGCTTCTTGAAAAATGAATCAATTTTCAGATTCCAAGCTCTAGGCGCTTGCTTCAGTCCATACAGAGCCTTATTTAACCTGTATACCATCCCTTCCTGATTCTTTTTCACAAATCCAGGAGGTTGTGACACGTAAACTTCTTCCTGTAATGGACCGTTCAGAAATGCTGACTTTACATCCAGATGTATTAAAGGCCAATTTCTGTTTGCAGCTAAAGCAATCACCAGTCTGATTGTTTCATGCCTAGCTACAGGTGCAAATACCTCAAAATAATCTAGCCCAGGTTTCTGAAGAAAACCTCTAGCTACTAGTCTAGCTTTGTGCTTGCCAATGGAACCATCTGGCTTAAGTTTCAACTTAAAAACCCATCTGACGCTGATGGCTTTTTTCTTATCTGGAAGTTTAGTCAATTTCCAAGTTTTGTTCCTTTCTATTGCCTCAAGTTCTTCTTTCATGGCATTAAGCCATTCTTTCTTCTTGAGAGCTTCTTCAATGCCCACTGGTTCAGAATCTACCAACATGGCACACTGAACGACTTCTCCTTCAGAGTCAACGTCATTATCCTGCAGCATGTCAAAATCTGCAAACCTTCTGGGTTTTTGTCTGATTCTTTGTGGTCTTTGGGCTTGTTCTGAAACTGCACCAGAACTACTACTTTCAGAGTTACCACATTCAGAGTTTTCCCTTCCAGAACTCTGATTACCACCAGATTCTGGATCATCATCAGTATCTGGATCAGAACCAGATCTATTTCCAGAAACTTCTTCTGACTCATCTTCAGAATCTTCAGGATCTTCAGAATCAGATTCATCTTCTGATCTTTCTAAAACAACTTCAGAGGATAACTCTGGTGTTGGCACTACACCAGAATCAGATTGAGATTTGTTCCAATCCCATGCTTCAGATTCTTTCACCACAACGTCTCTGCTGACTTCAACTTTATTAGTTTCTGGACAATAAAGCTTATATGCACCTGTACTGTGGTACCCCACCAGTAACATTATTTTGCTTCTATCATCAAGTTTTTGTCTTCTAGCTTCTGGAACGTGTTTGTAACAGACAGAGCCAAACACTTTCAGATGACTGACACTCTGCTTATCTCCAGTCCATTTCTCTAAAGGAACAACTTCCTTCAGTTTTTTCGTTGGACACCTGTTCAGAATATATGCTGATGTGGCAACAACTTCTCCCCATAGCACATGAGGTAGCTTTTTCTCTTTCAGCATGCTTCTGGTCATATCAAGCAAAGTTCTGTTTCTTCTTTCAGCAAGACCGTTGTGCTGAGGAGTATATGGGGCAGTAACCTCATGTTCTATTCCATTCTCCTCACAAAAACTCTGAAACACTGTAGAGTTATACTCACCTCCACCATCTGTTCTCAGAATTTTTAACTTCTGACCACTCTGCTTCTCAGCCTTCACCTTGAATTTCTGGAACTCAGTAAACACTTCATGCTTGAACTTGATAAGTGTTACCCATGTCATTCTTGTGAACTCATCCACAAAAGACACAAAATAATTGTTTCCTCCAAGTGAAGATACTGGAAATGGTCCACACACATCAGAATGTACTACTCCCA